GAAACGAAGAACAACGAAAGGTCAAAGGCCTATGCGGTCTATATAGTCAATGGTCTATAGTCAATGATTCGATGGACAAATCTGACCAAGTAGCAGCCAATCAGAGTTCGACAAGGTCAGTCCGGCATAGATGTGTGTATGTGCGTACGTGCGTCTGTAAAGAGGCAATCGACGAGTCACACGACAAAACATGAACTAGCGGTGTGTGCCGACATGGGGGAGGCGGGATGCAGGTGGACAAACAATCGAACAAAGTGGTCAATGCGTAGGAGTACAGAATATGCTCACGTGAAGAAAGCAACTGTGGACCAAAGTCTGGTCGATAAATGCGGTGAATAAGCGACCGAGAACGACAGAGACTGGGATTATTGGGGGACCAGATAAAAGAGAATCAACAGCGAATATCTCAAATAGTTTATTTCAGCACAGGCCTTCAAGGTAAGGACTCGTTTGACAATATTCCAATCTGACCAACGTTTATATAAGGACTTGTTTCGATTACATAGTAACATTTGTCAAGTGCAGAGCGAATGAAGAGTGAACTGAAATGCTAGAAATCACTGCACAGTCAGTTGTTTCAGTTCATTAGCGTTGATGTACACTGTTTTCAAGGACTTTTGGTTCCAATCCCACAATGGCCATCATAATTGAGCATCCTCTTATCACTGGTCTAAGCAGACGGACAACAATTTAAGACAGCCATTCCGAATTCAGGAACCTTGTACGTATTTCTACATTAGAAGCTTCTTTAGCAGCCTTCCTCATCAATCTCTCAATCTGAACTTATTGATAACTAACTGAACAATCATGAGTTATTTGTTATTGTTTTTGTTTTGCTAGCTCTCAGTTTACTACTCAACTGCTTCAGTTATGTGGCTTCCGCTGAGCGCTAACCCTCGGGTGGAAAAAGCAACTGCTTGACTTTGAGCAAATTTCGGAAATAACCATAGGGATACAACATTCCAGTTGTCCACAAACTAATGACAAACCTGAGGAAAACCAACAAATCAATCAGAGGATAAAATTTGAACAAATTTAATCAACCAAAACAATAACAAAGACGGTTTAACAAACGAAAGCCTAGTCACACAGAAAGAACATTGACAACTCGTGTGCACGGACACCAACTGGTCGCCAGAGACACAAGAAACTCTCATCTCAATCCACAAAGACCGAAAAGGATACAATTTCGATTCCATAAATCATCGATCAAACCAGTAGCAGGGAATTGTTTGAAGCTAATCCCTTCTAGGAAAACTCGGTCAACGGGCACATCGACATCGATCAAGTTTGCGATCCATCCAACAAACGGATCAATTAGTGTAAAGAAA